AAGCCTCCGGTGTGCTATCATGCTAGCAGCTTTGCAGTGTGCCAGTGGACGTCCCTTTGAGATTTAGCAGCTGAATCCACTTGCCATTCTTCAGGATTTCCAGAACTTCAGACACATTCTGCTTCCCTTACAATTGCTGTACTCAAGGAAGGAAAATTAAGCAGTACTAGAAGAGAACAAAATCTGTTTGCTTTTTTTGGTATCTTAAGACAATCAGTGATCAAAAGTTAAGATGCAGACTTAAGGGGAATAGCATGTCACGAGATCTCCACAACCATGAAATGTTGCCATATGAAGCTACTGCAAAGTCAGAGGGTTACGTATGTGTTTCTCCTCCTGTTCGAGGAAGCTGTACTCTCCCCTAGTGAAAAAAAGATCTGGAAGCAAGGGGAGGTAAAGAGTTACATTCCCCAGTATGTGGCTGCCCAACCTGCATTTAAATGAATTGATCTTGAGCTTCCATTTAACTGAAAAAATGGGAACAAATCAGAATCCCCAACTGTTGCCAGCTCTGAACTTTTCTGTGCAAGTGAATTAGCAAACTAAAGTTGAAGTAGTTCATGTGTGTGTTTTGACCTGCAGTGCCTCTTGTTTGCTTTACAGCAGATAACTATCACTTGTGATCACTAGGTGATAAACTAACATCTTTGTTTAAACAAGCAAGCCCGGGGGCACCAACTCATTGGTGACATGCAGCACTGTCCTTGTTTCAGCCCCCTCAGTGTCATACGTGTCCTTTGCAAATACCGGGTCTGCTGGGTTAGATGGTTGTGCCAGATTTGTGTTGCTCAAGAAGAAACAGAAGCTTAATGTCTTGAAGGTTCAGCTCAGTGGCGTGGCCAGGCAGCCTGCCTGTTAGGGTAGCAAGCCTCTTTCATGCATGGCCAGTTCCAAAGCTCTGTGCAGCAGGACTCAGGAATGAAAAATGTCATCCACAATTATGCTTATGTTCATCATCTCCTATCATGTAAATCCCCCTGCCCCAAGTGTGCAGCAAATGTTTTGTTTGCATATGTAGGTCAGCCACAAATCTTCAGTGGTCTAACATAAGCATTAGAAGCATAGGTTGATGTATATAGATTTAAACCTGGTCTGAAGCACAGCACCACCATGGACGTTTTCCAAGTGGAGTCTGTTTACTTGATATGTTTTCTTCTGACTTTTCAATTTATAAAGCACTGCTTGCTTAATGATTTGTGAAAGCACAACTGACGGAAGATGCTCGCCATCACTGCAAAAGGAACTATTAATTTCAGACACAGATGGATGGTTCTCAATGAGTAACTTTTATAGTGATAGCTTGAGAAGTGTGTTCTTTTTTCAGCAATACATTAAAGTGTTTCTGCAACTAGTTTTTCTTTTGCCACTGGCAGGAGGCCAGTGTTATATGATTTTAAGGAGATCGCATGTTCTTTTTGCATGCTACTTAGTTTTTCTTGTCTTGGCTATCTTAAAAGAAAAATACAGAAAGAAATATGTTTATTGTCCTTGTGATGCTAGATAAAAGCTACAAATTCTGCCTCAGTAACCAAAAAGCAGGCACATTTATTTAAGAAAAATGTTTTCTATTACATTCAAAAGCTCGTTGACTTCCCAAGTCTAACTCCTGAGTTCTGTACACCACGAGTTGGCAGTGCCGTTCCCCTTCAGTTGAGTCGTGTGGATCAGCTTGTTACCCTGCTGTGAAACTCAAACTGCTCAGTTTACTTGTCTGGGAATGTGTAATTCTTAGAATGAGGTCTTCAGTGAGAATGCTCCTGCAAATACATGCGGAGTGTCAGCTAGCACAGTTCAGACAAACAGGTTGATCTCTGCAGTGGTACTCCATTGGTGCTCTGCAGCTGTACAACTGCTTTATTACCAAACTCCCCCTTGGATCTGGCAGTAACAATGCACATCATGGCAAGGTGTGTATCTGCACACGCAAACATCAGATTAACCATTTCCTGGTGTAATGACCCAGTAAGTTTTGATTTAGGATAAATAAGAGTGAAGTTGCTGGCTTAAGAGATGAGTAAAATACGGTACAGTATCCTTCCCAATTCCCATAAAATCAGACTAGCACCTCTGCTAGATTTGATATCCTGAATTTAGCTAATGGAAGTATAGGGACACTACATTAGGAGTCAGGTCACGGCTCTTACAAGGCTGGGATACTGTGAGGTTGGAATTGAGGTATTTCTTGAGCGTGTGTGATACTGTGCCAATAACTGTACATGTATACTGATACTCATCAGATTCCTTCCTGTGTAGGAGCACACACCTTGTTCTGTCCTGCCTACAAACACCATCACCACTGTGATGCTGAAAGATGATTCAGAAGAAGCAAACATTGCTGTTTTTCCCAGCATAGCTTTAACAGATGCACAGTTCTTGACAGAACACACATCCTTGGTCATTTATTATCACCAGCTAACAATTTGTTCTCATTAACAACTCCCTCTGCGCCAGGCTCTCAGGAAACAGGCTTGTGTTTAAGAGCACACAGTAACTTTAAATTTCCCTTCTCCTCACAGGGGACAGATGATCTAAAGTTTCCTATTTCTCTCCTGCTGCTAGATCCAGCTTGCAGTATTCAGCAGGATACACTCACCTTCTGCATTACCTTGCTACCTTATTACTGCTCAACCTGTATTTTACTCCCTTACCTTGCAGCACCTGAATACCATGTGCAGTCTGACTTCATGCTGCACACTGCAGACCATCTCTATTTATCTCAACATGAAATGAAGGCTTTACACGTACAGTACAGTGCAAACCATGTATCTGGTATATCACAGCTTCTCTGGTAGAGAAACAACTAGTACCTTATTAACCTGTCAGAAATGTGGCTATATCATAATTAGATATAAAAATATTTCCCCTTTGCAATCATTTTGTTTGGTATTTCCTATGTTCCAAAGCCTCTTAATGCTGTGATCCCTCTTAGCTGTTTCTCTGGCTTCCTTTGGCACTGCAGACATTGGTGAGGATGAATCTCTAATGTATGTTAAGAAGCACTCATCCAGGGGCCTGGAGGTAAGGTAAGGGACAGTCAGAGTCAGGGCACCATTTTAAATCACACTCTGGTGGCAGACACCAGCATCTGGTGGTGGTTGGGAGACAACCAGGCTGGTCCCTCAGTGATGGATGCAGAAAAGGCAGCACCAGCAGAGCTCATCCTTGCCAAAGTCACCAGCTCCTCTGAGCTCCTGCTTGCATGGGGAAATGCTCCAAGTTTTTAATGACAAACCATCTCAGCTATAAAAAACCCAATGAACATAATTTAATAGCAACCTGAGAGCAACCAAGAGCCAGCTATGTGACCTCAGCCTTCCTGGGCACTTCACACCACTGTAATTCATTGATCTTTTTGTTGCCTCCATGGGTGAATGAAGGAAGATGGGTGATGCACTGAAAAATATGGGCAGTTTTCCCATAGTTTCCAAACTATGGAAACTATGATGCACTGAAAACTATGGGCAGTTTTCCCAAACCAGGCTTGCGGGTGAAGCTCTGGTTTGCTGTTGAAATAAGACAGTATCTTGGTGATGAAACCTTCTTTGTAAACTACTGGTGACTCGTGGAGAAGGATCCACATGCACAGAAGCACGGATACCAGCACATCGTGTATCATGGCTCGGGTTATGTGAGATACCAGTGAACCCATGAGGAGAGAATGAGAAATGAATCCCGATTTTCCTAAAGCTTCATGGAGCAGGGCAGATCTGTTCACATCTCCTAGTCCCAGGAGTTCCACAGGAAGGAGCTTAGCCTGGACTTGCCCTTTCCATTTTCATGTGCAGCTAAACTTTTCGCTGCATTTATTTAACTTTTCCTTTCATTTAAACGCTTTCTCTGCTGTCCTGTTGCGGTCCTGCTCTGTATCGGGAGCACGGCTCCAGTGACAGTTCCTTCACACAGCATCCTCGTCATTCCTTCCCTTTCCTCCCTTCCCGCGCCTCTCTCCTCGCCGCTCCCCACAGCCAGGCTGCATTTCCCAGCGTCCAGCGCCACCGCCTGCCCGCGCTTCCGCAGTGCCAGAAACCTGCTCCTGCTGCCCTCGAGGGGCCGCGCTCCCGTGTTCTCCGTTCCATCCCCTCTCCACTAGCGCTCAGGGCTCACACTGCTGCTGGTAAGAAGCCTCCTTCTGTTTTACACTGTAAAAACAGGTTTGTGTTTTCCGGCTCGGCGTTTGCCTCACTTGGGCAGTGTAAGAGCGTGTAAATCCAGAAGTGATGCTAGCAGCTTGGTGTTCAGCTGGAGCTCTGCAATCAGCTCCATTACAAGTACACAAATGTACTCTATTACAAATAAAGCAAACAAATGTACTCTATTACAAATACAGTAATTGCACTCGGAGTGGAAGCACCTGCCTGGGGAGGCGTTTCCATCACACTCACACGGTCTGGAGGCCCAGGGCCCCTCAGCTGATGTGCCTTACGTGCCCCCCTTGGAATGAGGAACCCAGTGCTGCTCTGCGCACCCTGGCATGGGCTTCCCACTAAGAATAATTACAAGAAGTTAGAGAAACTCGCCCAACCACACGGTAGACATTAGTCCACGGTGTTAAAGTGGTCATTACGGGACAGGTGTGAGGGAACTGATGAGCTGAGCCAGCCTGAAGCAGAGAAGCAGTGCTTTGTCTTGGGAGTAACAGCTCCCACCTCACATGAACATCACCCCACATGATAAGAGTTGATTTAACTTCTAAACCAGCGGGCAGGGGTTTCGCTGCAAGGCCAGCGCCTCCTAGAGCCGCACCTCCCGCCTCAGGCACCACCGCCATAGCGCGGTGCTTTCCCGCTTCCAAGATGGCGGCCGCGCTCCTTTCCGAAATGGCCTCCCCGGCAGAGGCAGGCGGTGCTGCCCGCACTCAAAATGGCGGAAGCGGCCCCAGCGCGTGGCGCCGGCGAGGCGGGGCGAGCGGGGTCAGGGGCCTCGCGGGGATTGGCCCCTCGCGCGCCCCGTCGGCCGCGCCGCTCTCATGGCAACGAGTGGGGGCGGCGGCCCAGCGGAGGCAGGGCTGCGGGATGGAGCTGGCCCGGGAGGCGGAGGAGCCCCCTGGGTCCCCGGCGCTGCCCGCAGAGGAGCCGCAGGGAGGCCACCCCACAGGGGCGCCGGCGGCAGATGGGCCGGTGCCCTCCGCTGCTGGCCGGGGGCGGTGCCGCCGCGGTGCCGGCCCGAAAGGCCCACCCGGGCGGGCGGTGCGGGGCAGGGGGCGGCGGGCCCCGGGCCGGCGCGGAGGGGAGGAGGGAGGCCGTGCCGTCCGGCGGCCCCGCGTCACGGTGGACAGCTCCAAGGCCAAGACCTCGCTGGAGGCGCTGAAGATCAGCCTACGGCAGCTCCACTGGAGGGAGGTGAGCGCCAGACCGCTCGGGGGCCTCCTGGGCCTCAGCCCCAGGCCGCTGCCCCTTCCCCGCCGACTCCTGCAGGGCCCACCCGGCCTGGTGGTGACCGCATCCCGCTGCTCTGCCGGCCCGCCATGGCCTCCTCCCCAGAGGAGTAGTCTTATAGCCGCGGGGTCATCCCGGTTGTTGTAATCTCCACGATGGGGTTATTTGTAATTAGGTTTCAAATCTGGAGGCTGGTTTGATTAATGATCAAAGCTGCCATTGTCAGTTATGCAAGCCAGAATGGGGGTAATCGGATATTATGCTTCAAAGCTTAAACTGGTCCCTGGAAAGGGCAAAAAAGAAACCTACAGCTATGGAGAAATTGTACTGCTTATATATATATATATATGGAGAAAACATACTGCTATTTTGCTTTGCATCTTTCTGTACACCCTTCCCTCATAATAAGATACGTGAAATAAGGCTTATGACAGCAGACATCTGTTGGGTATCACCTGATACATCAGCTGTTTGATCTGGTGGCAAAGCCTCTGCGTCACAGGTTATCTAGAAGGCATGTCAAAGAGCATTGTGTATGAATGAATATTAAACCACTCAACAAAGCATACATAACAGGCTTTACGCTTCTAAATCAGTGCATGCAGAGAAGGTATGGCCTTCCCCCACCTCCCCCTGCAGCTTGAGTCATCTGTTTTCTCTGTTCTGTGTGAGGAGTTCAGTGCCTGCCTGTCTTTGCTGAACCAGAGTCATGGCAATATGGGAGCTGGCGCAAAAATGATATCTTGGAACTCTTTATTTAAACCCTGAAGAGATTTCTAATATATGTATCTTATTATAGATGCTAATTTGTTCTTAAATTGTAATGATATTCTTTCCCTAATAACTTTATAGAAATTTAAAGAGGATGGAGTGGCAGTAAATATTACCTGTGTTTATTTATAACATCCTAAATACTTAATACTACAAAGACATTTATGCTTATTGCCAGGAAGAGTAATACTTCCTCATCCTCTGGCTGCATAAAATTTACTTTCAACGTTTTTGGTATTTAAATCCAGTGGGAGAATGTCACAATCTCATTGCACAAATGCTCCAGTTCTGAACTCCTGCTCTTGCAGCAAAGTCATAAGGAAACTCCAGAGGCGTGAAATTAAAGCCTGTTACTCTCTTACTCCTCAGTGCCCCTGTGCAGTGTCTGTCAGCAGCCTTGTGCTGTGTTTTAGGTGGTGACATACAGAGCAAGGGGGACTTCACACCTAATTTCTCTGTTCTTATGGTTAAGCTTTATTTTCAGAGCTCCTGGTGCCATTGCAGGGACTGTTGCTGAATTACTGATATAAGTTAGCCTCGCAGATTACACTGGTAATGAGCCATTCTTGCTGGTTAATTTTGCCTTGTCTGTTTCCTGAGATTTTACTGTTGTGTATATCTGCCTGGCACTTGATATTCTGTTCTACAAATCATGTTTCACATGCTCTTGTTCCTCTCTTGAATTTCTGCACTGTGTTAATCAACATCCTGCTTCCTGCTCTGCATCCCCCAACAGCAATTGCTTTTGCCTTTACTTCATCTTTCTTTGCTTACTGCCTCCTCCAATATTCTTTCTCTTCCATTCATGAGTTCAGTCGATATTTTTCATTTAGTCTGTTGCTTCCTCTTCTGGCCCCTTTGAATAAAGAAGAGACTTAATATGGAATTTTGTGATGCTTGACTTTACCATCTAGATGGCCCATAATTCATTCCCTATGAACAAGTCGCTGTAATGTATTCAGCTTATAAATAGGTTGATAAGTGTGAATGTGATGTTACTTTTTGTCAAGGAAATAGTTTCTTATACCAGTGTATGTGTGACAATCAGTTTTCTCTCTTTTTATTTCCCTCTCACCCCCCCACCCTGAAGGGGAAAGAGTAGGGAAAGGGGACCTAATATTAGCTGTGACTCTTCACTGGTACTGCTGACATTGTGGAAAATATGAAGGTGAAAGTCTTCTAGGATGGGAGCAAGACAAAGTGTTGACCTCAAGCTTGCAGACTTCAGTAGGCACAGGGAATCAGTAAGCAAGATTTTGTAAAGATTTGAAGGAAAAAATACCATTAAGATGAGAAAAATCCAATAAAACCTCTTTTCCTCAAGTTATGTATAATTCTGAAAGCTCTCCCTAGAAAAACAGCACTAAAATATTTGTTCAGACAGCTGTCAGTAATGACCAAAGAGCCTTGAAAATCGGTGCACTGTTACAGCAGGCCCAGCAGAGGGAACACAGATGTTGTTTCTTGTAGGATCCATACAAATAGTGTGGAAAGAAATAATCTTGGAACTAATAATGAAATGGGTGTATTTTAAATACTGATGTTGTAGGGGCTGGTATTCTACTCTCATCCCTTTTATAATACTTTTTAAGGTGATTGCACTTTGGACTTCAGTTTAGTGTATTTGATCCTTCTCCCTCATCACTTCTTTTACGTTTTTTCCCCATTGCTTTGTTTCTGTTCTTCTCTCTGCTGCTGGATGTGCTGGCTTGAATATTTTGTTGGGCAGGAGATGCTATTACAGGCTTTTTAAAGTGGTCTCATTTTTGTTGAGAACTTTGTCTAATGCATAGTATTACAGACTCATACAGCCTTTTGGTTTGCTTTGCTTTTTGTTTCAAGTTGTATGCTCTGAAATCTCCTCGCTGTAGTTACCCTCACTTGCCAGAAGAGCTTTGTTTCAGTAATAGCCTATTACTGCAATATGCTCCCTGATAATGCATAGAAGTAAGTCATAATGCACTGTGTGATTACAGAATTGTCCACATGGTAGTAGTTCATTTTAGTAAACTGGCATATGGGAAATGCCATTAGAAGACAAAAAATAAAAGGGAAGAATACTCAAAACATGGCTAATATTGGTGAGCAGAGTTTATTTGATTGCACTGGTAGATGGGGAAGAATGAAAGCATCCAACAGACCAATTTAACTATTGAAGTTCTGCTATTGGAAGCAAAAGACAGGAAAAAAACTCCTTTTTTTTTTTTTTTCCCCCAGCTGTGGCAAGTCTAAGTAAATTAAATTATCACCCATGATAGCCCTGTCTGGAGTAACACACAGGGGGGACCTTTTAAAAAGCATTGCAGGACTCTAATGTGTGTGCCAGTGAGGCAATTACTCCCCTCACTAGATTGGACTATCTGATTCAGTGTGTCACATTCTTTAAATGAACATGATATGCCAAATGAAATAATGGGCACAAATTGAGCTTGCATCCCGAGTTTATTCATCACTAATAAATTATTTCTTCACCTAGCTTTCAATTACCAGGGAAGTGGAAGAAGCAGATGTCTCGGGCATCAAATATCCCAGTACTAAGCGTTTCATTTGTCTCACTGTTCAGTAGCTGGATGGAGGCGTAGAAATAGGTTGAAATTTTATGCTGGGACAAGCTGACTAGAAGATGAGTCATTTAACTTGTCATTAAACATGATGGAACAGACTGATGTGACCCGTAAGACAATTTAAATGATTGGCTTATAATCAAAAGGTAGGAATGACCTGTCAGACAGATTTGACCATGAAGGATTATTAGTTGTGTCAAAATGATGGAAACAACTTTGGAAACAAAGCTCTTTGTGGCTTCTTGTTTGTTCTGACAAATACACCCCGAATCTGAATAGAAAAAAGATTTAAAATGAATTGTTCAAAGAGTTAGTGAATTGACTGCAACCTGAAAGTTGTTTGCAGTGATTGATCCTAGGGCTGGACTCTGGTTTTCTGCACAAGGCAGTCATGCAGTGGCAAGGATGGCTCTAGTCACATTCCTGACCTCCATCCCTCTGTGGCTGTGGGCACCTTCGCTTTGGCATTGGTTAGTGCAGATCTGAGGCTATTCCAGCTGCCACAAGGTAGATGAGACGGAAGTTACTTCAATTGCCTGCCTTTCCTTTTAGCTAGTCCCCTGCCCCAGGAGGTGGGAGGCAGCAGGAAGGGCTCTTCTACCAAAATCACATTTAATTTCTGTCTGCCTAGTGCTGCCAGAGGGACCCAAGTAATGGAACTTCCTTGTTCATTTCCCAACACTATTCTTAAGTACAAGTTTAGTACAGATGATAAAGAATCCTTTCCAGCTCATTCAGGAGGTGCATTTGATCTCCTTGTTGGATAAATCCAAATAATCTCGATTAGTCAGGAGTAGGGAAGTTGCTGTGCTATCTGAACCGCTGCTGCGGGAGTGCAGTGCTTCCATTTTCCAGTCCAGAGCTGCTCGCTCTTCATCTGTTGTGAAATGATTTCTGTGTGGTGTTTGTAAAGTGCTTTGATATCCTCCATAGATGAAAAGTGTTATATAAATGCAAATTCCAGTCCTTTCATTTCAATTTCATTTAATAAATAAATAAATTGCTCAGGTTTTAGTGGGAAGGGCGCTTGGAGACCCAACGCTGCATCTGTATTCTGGCTATACCTGCAGAGAGAGGTTGAGGCCACTGATTGTCTTTTGGAGCCTAACAGAATTAATTTTCACTTGTAGAAAACCGGATTTTGCAGGCTGAATAATAATGAAATAAGTGAGGAATCCACTGGCTCTGTTAAATTTGGTATCTCATCCCTATGAGTGAGGAAACAGAGAAAGGATGCATTGCTCAATTAGCATTTGAAATTAAATTTTTCAAGGCTATTTACTGAGGAAACTGAAATTTTAATTAAAATAGCAAATAAAATAATTCCCTCAAAAGCGTTACGAGAGTCTTTTATTTTTCCCTATCATATTGAAGAAGAAAAAAATCCAGTGCTTAAAGAAATGTTTTAAAGGAAGAAAAATGACATTTGGAGTAAAGAATAAGACGTTTCTGCAAAATAGGATGGTTCTTTCTATCAGTAAATAGTACTGAAGTCGTTGGGTGATTGATGTGTAATACAAAAGTGTCTTAAAAATGCTGTGGTCAGAAATACAGCATGTTAATTTGAAAAGGATGGAGCCTAATAATAGAAGGGATTCCTGTGAGTGTATTCCATATGGTGTTAAAACTATCTACATGGAGTTGAAGATAAAATGGGTGGTGGTTTTGACTGATAAGTGGGTCTGTGTCTGAGAGAACAAGCATAAAAGAGTTCCTTTTTTGCATAAAACTTTATAACATGGTTTACAAATGCTTGGCTTTTAACTTGGGTTTCTTTTTTTTGCTCTGAACTGTTGATACTGTTAATTCATGGGGCTTTTTGTTCTTACTGCTGGTAGTCTTAATTTAAACCCACTTTACTACTATTAGAAACTGTTGCTGTTGGTAATTGGCAGTGCTGTTCCAGAGCTCTTCAGGCTGCTTTAAAGAAGGTTGATCTTTGATAATAGGTAACTCTGTAGTTTTCCAGTTTATGGTGAGGTCTTGTATGAATGGGAAAAGAAGCTGGAATTAATACTGTTGAAATAATTGCCTTTGTTCTCAGTAGTTGAAATATTTATGTTCAACAAACCATTAACTGAATCGCAAGCTTTTCTTTTAATTACAGGCTACTGGTACCAGAAAAGAATTAATACTGTAGGGATGAATACATATAAGCCAATATATATATAAATGAATAATGCGCTTATTTCACTTATGTATCTTTGAATGTCCATTTTGAATTTATTGGACACCACGAAATCAGCTTGCTCAGGGAGTGCTTTGCAGTTAACAACTTACTCTTAAGTTACAACAATCTTACTAACTCCATGTATTCCCTGAAATGAAGTACTAGGGAGCAGAAATGCTTCATGCTCATGTGAGACTGGAAGGGAGCACATGGAAATGTAAGGTGATTGGGGGTGACTGTGGGAATGGGTGATATCTGGGAAAGGGATGTGGGTGGCCAGCTTGCAGTGACGGAGCAATAAAGGCAAGTCATGGGGCTCTGGTAATGTTTGGAAGAGCAGGAGTTGATTTAGTAACTGCCAGTAATGACAGTTCCTCCAAGATCTCTCCTGTTTTTTTTTTCCCTGGATGGTTGCTTATCACCCCTTAAACAGAGGAGGAAAAACCCCAACCCCAAACTCCATCAGAATGTGTTTACTTCCCAGCTGTAGCACTCGCTCTTGCTGTGTCTTCATGTGCCGGAATTAAGTGCTGCTTAATGAAATTTTATTCCCTGTAATGGTATTTTAAATTACAAATGAGTCATGCCTTAATTGTGGTTGATAACAAGCTCGAAGTTTCTCCATACACATTATGCCTCTCAGTCATTTGTTTTTAGTTTCTGGAAACCTTTCCTGGCTTGTTAACATCTTGAACTTGAGAGTGTTGAACCCATCAAAATATTCTTAGTTTTGCAACCAAAATACAGAGTGTGTTTTCATCTGACAGTCAAAAGACTGTTCTTGAATGATTTCTGTTTAATACGAGCATTTAGAAAAGTAAGGAATGAATGGGTATTGCCAGATTGCTTCAAAACTTGTCTTCTATCTCTTTTTCAGTATCCTTTTGGCAGACGCTTGCCGTGTGATATCTATTGGCACGGGGTGTCATTTCATGACAATAATATATTCTCAGGTCAAGTCAACAAGTTTCCAGGTACCTTACTTCTGTTTCTAGTTTAAATAAATGCTTTAAAAATATGATTATTTTAACCATTCCTGTGCTTTGCTGTTTTTTGATGTGAATTATCTGCCTAAGCAGCTGATAGTATTTTCAGCATATTACTGGGTTTTGGTAGGTGATTTCTGCTTAGAGGGTAGGACTATCAGGATGGGTGTCTAACAATTTTTTATCTAAGATTTGTTTTGGAGAGAAAGTGTTTTTGATGAAAAGAATACTTCATAAGTATGAATTTAGGAAAAGTAAGTTTTGGGCTATAATTTGTGTGAAGTCTGTAATTATTGTCAGTTCTGTAGCATTGATAACTGTGTCTTTGGGTTTGGTTTTGATTCAAAGTGCAAAGAATCTGTTCTGTTTTATCCTCTGGCCTATCTCAGGGAGAAGCTCAAAGTTCCTCAAATGGATTTTTTAATATTGAAGAGTTCATGGCAGCCCTCGTTTGATGATGACTCTTCAACTTTTTTGAGCTCTTTTATTTATTTTTCCCTCTTGTTTAATCCCTGTTGAGATGTCTCTAAATGAGCTAAGAGCTTAGGTACCGACTTATCTAAGCCCTTTACTTCAGATTTAGTGCTGCTTTTTGTATGCTGTGAGAGTAAGAGCCCTCAGATACAGAAATTTATGCTTTTATTTACCCTTTCTCCTGTCTGTGAGAAGTTCACACTCAAGTAGTGGACAGTGTAGTTTTCTGGTGGTTTAAATCTGTGTTAGATGAATGTTACCCTCTGTGTATTCCGGCTTCTACCTGGTAAGCAAATGCCCTGCACAGCTGTCAAACCCAGTCCTGCAGAGCTAGACCTCATTCTCCGGAACGTTTCAAAGCTGCAGGAAAACAGCGAAGTTGGGCTCCTCACAACATCCTGTTCTTTCTGACATAGTTACTTAAATGAATGCAAAGTACACACAGAGTGGTTGGTTATATTTAAATGACATTTTTTGCCTGTTTCTGGAACGATAGCAGGCTAGGGCCATTGTTTTGGATTATGGTAAAGATAGTAGTTACTGTTTGACTAAAGCTTTCCCTCTGTTATTGTGTGCTGTATTTTTGATAATTGATTTTTTTTCTAATGTGATACAGTAATACCTATAACACGAAATATGGCAGGGGAATGGTCCAAATATTTTGTCAGCTTTTACCTTTTAAAAGCTTTTCAGCTTTGTTAAAGCAATGACTAGCATGCCTTACCAGTAGCATGAGTAAGAGTATAACAATTTACTTTTAGGATAAGGCTTCAGTGCAGGTTTTCCGTGGCTTTTAGACACTGTGTGTTCTTTTCCCAGGTATGACAGAGATGGTACGAAAAGTTACCCTGAGTCGGGCAGTGAGAACAATGCAGGATCTGTTTCCTCTTGAATATAACTTCTATCCTCGATCCTGGATTCTGCCAGAAGAACTTCCCCTCTTTGTGGATGAGGTAGATTGCTTTTCCTCTCAAAATAGTATGACTTGTTGGATGTTGTCACCATGGCATTCTTTACTTTTTCGTACCTACCAGGTTGTTTAAAGTCCCACTTGGGTGCTGGGGATGACATCTTCTATGTGAGATCAGACGTAGTTTGGATGAACTGCTTTTGATTGTTACATTCTGGAATAAACTTAATTACACACCTCTGCAATGCCAGAAGAGATCTCTCAATAGTAAATATGGTAGAACCATAAGCCCTTTCCCTGCATTTTCTACTGAGTTTAAAAGGGCTGAGGAAGCTGCAATGCAGTGTGTGGGGTGTGGTACTTCATCAGGTTCATTGTCACTGAAGTCTTTTTAGTCCATCAGGCCTGTTATATCCACATCCTTCAAAAGAGCATTTTGTACTGTGCTATGTTAAATACACTCGCACCTTCCTGAGCAATTGTTTGACTCTCTCACCAGACTGTAGTTGTGTTGTTTCAATATTCAGAATGTAATAAAATGCCATTCTTTTTTATCTGTTTTGAGAAGAATTGGTGCTGTGTGTTGGTGTTTGGTTGTTGCAGATATCTTTAAAAATATCATATATGTTTGTTTTAACCCTTTCTGACCCACCCAGTGCGTTCTTCTGTTCCACAGTACGCTCTGCTTGGAAAAGTGAGAGAAAAGGTATGGACCTTAATAGACTTCTGCAATGTGTGTTACTTTTCAGCTAATTACCATATCCACAATCCAATTAAATCCATGAACATCCTCTAATACATACTCTTCAAGTGTGCTGGGTCACTGCCATGGCACTGCCACTAATAGTAAAAAGCAACCAAATCCCAACAGTACTTCAGCCTTATTGCTTTAGAGGCAGGACGGGTTTGTAAAAGGAGGGTAAATTATCCAATCAATTTAGCAGTGACAGGTAAATAAGTGCAAATGACTTGGAAGTAAACTTTCAGAATGGTGCACTGGGGGTTCTGGTGATGGTTCTCCTGGGAATCATCCTGGTCTTGGTTGCGATGCACCGATGAGCTGATCATCGGTAGCAGCGTGGTCTGTACCTCCGGTTCCACGCACAGACCTGCACTCTGTCAGCAGGTGGCACTGCAAATAAATACTTTTCTCTGGTTGAACGGTTGCTGGAGTGAAAAATGATTCGTTTTTTGTTCCAAGAATAACAGATGTCCAGTAACACACTCCTAGGAGTTTCCTTTGCATATGTTCTTCCATCTGTGTTTGAGAAAAGCATAGTTCTTGTTATCAAACATATTTTATGTTGTAAGAGTTTATGTTCTACTTAACGCAAGTTTGTAATGTAACCCCTCCAAAACAAGAGAAACTACAAACCAGAACATTCCAAATCACTATGAACCATAAATAGTTCAGAACACTTTTCACTTGTTCCCTGAGCTATCAGTAGGAGCTCCCCAGTCTGTTGTGTTGTTTACTTGTTCATATGTAGGTTTGTTTGCTTTACAACCAAGGGACCTTAATGCTGCGGAAAACATCAGCTCTTGGAGACTGAATTTTCAGCTTATTCACAAATGAGTACAATACAGCATTGGCAGTGCCTGCATGTTAGACATAGCCCCATAGGAACTGGCATACACTTGACTGTGTGAATGTCGTGTACGTATTTCCCTGAGCACAAGATGATTTAGGCATCTCTGGTACTTCTGGAAGTAAAGCTCTATTGTCATGGGCTGCAGCTACTGTGTATGTATTCTAGATGTGTCATGCTCAAGTTAGTGTTGCTGTACCTTCACTATTACTAGTATTCATGTCCTTTGGGGCACAGTTAATTACTGAAAATAAATTCTCTGTCAGTGTAGGTGTAGCTTAGACACGAGAAGATGGGTTGGTGCTGTCTGTGGTATAGGATTTTGTCCCAAAGGGCTGGGCTGAGACATGAACACCTGGAGGCTTTGCCTAGAAAAGAAATGCCAACCGAAAGATTAAACTCTTGAGACCTTGAATTTCACTGCCTCCTCCTGAAGCACCGTAACATTTCAAAACTACTTCTCTCTCCAATATTCTTACTGTGTCTCACTTCTGTAAACAGGATCATGAACTGTTAGCATACATTTGTATCAATAACTAATCAAATGCTCTTGGCTTTCCCCACTTTCCTGTAAATCCAGGTGGGTAATGTTATGGCTAATCTAATACTAATCTTCAGTACATTAAAAGCCAGTAGTTGATGAGAAAGCTGTGCTTTTGAGCTTGTGGATGACCTTCATTCGGGAAATACCAACAAAATGGTAGTTCACTTAGTAGCGTTTGTATTGGAACGAAATGGTGATTAATTTGTATTGGAATGAAATGGTGATAGGTGTTTTTCATTATTCACCTATTTTTTACCTTCTAAACCATTTTACACTAACATTTCAGCATAACTGAAGGTGCATTACAAGTAAGCAAATTGGTCAGGTGCTATGGTTACCACCCCTTCACTACCAGAGATGAATCTGTTGGAATCTGTGTGCTAAAAACTTATTTCTAATAAAGCAGCTAGCTTGGGATTCAAAGCAGGGCCTTTACTGCTCTCATACTGCCTTCTTTGTGTTGTCTGTGAATATGATGAATAGGCCTAATATGATCAATTTTTAATAAGAATCTAATTTGGACAGTCTAATTTCCAGCACAGCATATTTTTGGTGGTTTAATCAGGTTTTCAGCTTTTGGATACCTCTTAGGCATTGATATGAATATTCTAGTCTTTGTGCTGTCAAATCTGATTGCCCATTGTATGCATGCTTTTCAGAACACTGTGTGCATTCAGCCTGTGTTTCCTCACCAAAGGCAAACCTGCAGCTGGATCAGATTTTCATGCCCTTAGACATCATACTTCCCGCTTGCTGTTGACTGTAAACTGTTAATGTGCTTTTAAAGATAATTTCCTTCTGTCAAGCTCAGTACACAGAAATACCTCATTTTGTATGAACTAATTTTCTTATATGACTGAATTCTCTATATCTGGAGAAGCTTCCTCATAATGAGACCTTGAAAGAATATAGTTGAGGAGATTGTGGAGAATTTGAAGGTAACTGTCAGAAATTTCCTTGAAGATGAAGAAACCATCTGCTTTCTTCAAGACAGTCAGTCTGCTCAAACCCAAACTGACTCTGGGTTACTGGTACCCATTTCCCCAGTGTTCTGTGTTCATCTGCCATGTGTAAGGTTTGGACTTAACCTGGACTAGAAAATGATGGAGAAAATGATTTCCTTTCCAGCTAAGTGGAAAGAGTTAAGTATGAGTTCTGTGAGACCAGGGATTGTTAAGCCGCAGTGCTTCAAAAGCAGGTTGCTGTTGCATCTGTAACAATAGTTCCCAGAAAGCTTTATCTCTTTTGAAAAGGTGCTGCTGTAGCAGAGCAGAAGTAGCCTGAGGCGTGAACAGCAGACGTGAGAATGGGAGGCAGATTGCCCTGGCTGGTTTCATAGAGGTTCTTTATTACTTTCTGCCCTCATAGACCATGATTGGCACTTCATGCATACAACTAGAGTCATAGTAGGGTATGTTTAGTCATGGAGGTTTAAGATTAAATAAGTATCTTTCTGAGATGCTGACTTTAACAGCCAGAGAAGCTCCTCAAGTATGCAGAGAAATGTCAAGTCAAGGGAATGTTATTTTGCAGTGGTAAAAAGACTTAAGGCATAAATCCTGCTATCCTTGTTTGCGCATCTGGATCTGCTAATCTACTTGGATCTATTTATCCACATGCAGTTTATGTAGCCTGACCTCCACTGTGGCGTTTGATCCCTCAAAGTGACCTGTTGTGAAGAAGGATCTTTCACTGAGTTAGTGTGACGTTGGCAAACATGGCAAAAATCCTAGTCTAAATAATTAATCTTGAATTTCTGTTGTAGTTAATAGGCTTTTAGCAGTGTGATTCTCAATGAAATAAGTAACTGAATAGGATGGAGCCAGAAGTCCTTCAGGCCTTGGGAATGTTGTGGCTGGCAGAGCTCTCGTGTGGGTTTGTAGCCTGATGTAGTGCAGCAGAAGGTGCTGTCTGAAAATCACCATGATCTCACTGGTGCTCAGCTTCATTCTGCGGGGCCAGGGCTGATAGTGGCAATTGATTGGTTTTTTTCTTTGTGAGCTTGTATCCTCAGGCTTCTTAAAGTCAATCTCAGTTGTTGCTGGCAAGCCTCAGGCTTGTGTAAAATCAGATCACCGCTGCCGTTCAGCAGTGTCTGGCTGAATAGAGAGAATAGCAGCTGCAGGTCTGGTGCTGTAAAACATGTGAATGCAAGAAAAGAGTGATCTTTACTGTGACATTCCTCCATTTTGAAAAGAACAGATTTTAAGTGCTTTATTCTTCCAAATCCCATGAGTAGCTGATAAATGTGTTAGCCTGTCTCCTACGTTTTCTGTAGCTGCGTTCTTTGTTAGGGCTCCCTTTCAGTGCTGTAGGGCAGTTAGGTTCTGACAAACCCCAGATACTTCCCCATCACTCTTACTGTAATTTCTGTCAGTGAACCATTTAAACCTTTTCCCTCATATGTCCCAAGAATCTAGGGCACAGTATGGGAAAAAAACCTTAAGATATGGGTATAATGGCTTATACTGTACTCATGGATATCACAAAACACCAAGAGAATTGGATAGATGAATACTGAGGTCCACGCTGCTGTAAACAACACAGAAATAGGTCACAGAGTCCTCCAGTGACATTCTTACAGAGTATTAAAGCTGACTTTAACAAACAGAGCTCTTTCAATGCAAGGTGCTACAAACAATGGAAAGAAACTGATCCTGAAAGCTACTGGTTTGCTGACCTTTTTCTTCCTCTTTTTTTTTTCCTCTTTTCTCCTTTTTCATGCTGTTTCTGTGTCTTGGTGACCTTTATACCCGTGCTCACAGAGTGTTAGTAGGTGTCAAAATTTCTTATCTCCTATTGCCTTTCTAGTGGGAGCATCTCCCATCACCCATGTGTAGTAAGTTCAATTGGTAATGTATTTCTTCTGGGGAAAAAAAACATTTCTGGAATTATTCTGTTAATTTTACTTGTTAGCAGTGATGAGTGACATAGCTCTTTAAGAGATCTGTGAACTGGAAGCATTTCTCTGTGCAAGAGGTACACAGCATTTCAGTGTGTATATTGGTATGTAACATTAAAATGTTCCTGGTGTAGTTTATACAATGGCTTGTTAAATAAAATGACCTTTTATCTGTACTACTAATTCCCTACTCATGATTTTTGGTTTGTCTCTGTCTGTGTCAGCGCTGTTTATCCTCTGCCTTTTTTTCCACAGTGTTTACTTGCTGTAGTTATGTGATCGTGTTATTTTTGTTTATTTGTGTTTATAAATGCAATTTGTTGGTTTTCATCAGCCCTTTTCCCCTTCCTCAGTTGATGTCTTTCAGTGTAATCCTTTTCCTTCTAGGTTCGTATGATGAAAGACAGCGATCCATCCTGGAAGCCCACTTTTATTGTAAAACCTGATGGAGGGTGCCAGGGGGATGGAATCTACCTCATTAAAGACCCAAGTGACATCAGGCAGACAGGGAGCATCCAGAGCCGGCCAGCTGTGGTCCAGGAGTACATCTGCAAACCACTGCTCGTTGACAAACTGAAGTTTGATATTCGTCTTTATGTCTTACTGAAATCTTTAGAACCCTTAGAGATTTACATAGCCAAAGATGGACTTTCTAGATTCTGTACAGAGCCCTACCAAGAACCCACACTAAAAAATTTGCACCAGGTTTTTATGCATTTAACCAACTACTCACTAAATATCCATAGTGGGAATTTCATCCATTCTGACAGTGTGAACACTGGCAGCAAGAGGACTTTTTCCAGCATTCTATGCAGGCTGTCTTCCAGAGGAGCTGATGTCAAAAAGCTGTGGTCAGATATAATTTCACTGGTGATTAAAACAATTATTGCACTGACACCAGAACTAAAAGTTTACTATCAGTCTGACATACCAGCAGGAAAGCCTGGGCCAACTTGCTTCCAGGTAGGTTGGAATTACTGCCAGGAATGCTGCTGTTTCTATGCATGGATTAATTTTCTGGATGTTTAATTTCTTCTCTAGTTATGCTGATCACTGGTTGGGTGTACTGAGTAGCATTGCATGAGCTCAGAGCTAAAGTTTTCCTCACCTCCAGGTTTTACCTTACAAATCTCAATCTCCTGACCTGTGTTACTATTAGGCATAAACATATATGGAGAATTTTCAATGGGTATCAATCGTTAGTAGCAGTAGTCACTTGTTTCCATCTTTTAGATGTTGTAACTATGAAGCTTTGGAGCTTCCTAATGGCTGCTAAGATGATTGCAGTTTTAAGACCCACTTGTCACAGGTGCTGAGGTTCCATGTTGACAGATTCTGAGATGGGAGTAGCATGAAAGTAGCCATTAATATTGAAGGCAAGTGGCTTCAGGAATTGTTCAGCAATTTGGCATGTTTCCTTGTTATTTCTCTTTTGCCCCTCAAGTGTTTCTTCTGATCATTGACATATGGATGACCATTGCATTCTCTAGAAAAGGACTGAGTAGAACTGAAGTAACACATTGCTTGTTATGCACAGATTTTAGGGTTTGACATTCTCCTGATGAAAAACTTGAAGCCGATGTTACTTGAAGTAAATGCAAACCCCAGCATGAGAATAGAACATGAGCAAGAGGTAAGACCTCTCAAATTGACAGTGATATTGGAATGAAACTGTTTAGATTTGGTTTGCTGGTCTTTTTTCCTTGTTTGAAAGATGAAAGCTGTCTACTAATATGAAACTGCCAAGGTTCTCTGTAATTTTCTGCTTTGAAATCATTGCTAATCTTATACACTAGAAATATGACTTACTGGAATTGTGAAAGCTCTCCATCATCTTTGTCATGAATACATTTATTCATCATCCCCTGCAGTTGGCTTAATTGTGTTTAGGGGATTGCTAATCATTTTTTTCATGTTTGTATACACAATATAAATGGTAACATTGGCAGGAATCTGTTTCTTAATACTTCAGTTTACTAGAGAAAATTGCCAAAAAATGTTGTAATATCATACTGAAAATATGAAGGTATTTGTGTATCCTGTAAGAAGTATTTTGTTGTCAATCACTGTGTATTTAAAACATACATGACATGCATGAAGTTTGAGGAAATGTGGAGTAAATAATCTTCAGGTCTGTGCCAAGTAATTGCATCCCTTTGTAATTGAAAGCTTTCTCCTGGAGTCTTTGAAAACGTCCCAAGCCCCGTTGATGAAGAAGTGAAAGTAGCTGTTATCAGAGACACTCTTCGTCTGATGGACCCTCAGAATAAAAAGAGAAAAGATATCCAGTAAGTGTGTTGACCTTGAGTTATTTTGTATCAGTACTTTGTAGTAGTTGTAAAAGTGAACTGTTTTCACCCAGTTATGTCAGTTTATCCAGGATGATGAGTTCCCGCTGTCTGTGTGACTCCTGCATCCACAGTGGTAACTCTTGTAGAAAAGCTTGTAGAACATGGATTTGGTGGCATGGTGCACAAAGAGTATTTGGGTTTGTGGATCTGCCAAGGGAAGGTCAGGGAAGGAAAACAGTTTGTTGTACTCTGTGTTTAGTAGCAGCAAGTTCACCAAATGGGGGTCTCACAGGTTGGCTCTGATCACTTCATGTGCTGCTTTTAGAGCACTGGTGGAAGTGTGCAGGGAGCCATGCAGGTACTCAAGGAATTGAAAATGTCCACAAACTGGTAGTAAATTAGGGTTTATCAGTTCCCTTAGAATATCTTACCTTTGCTTCAGAACTGGTGCAAACAAGTTAGTAACTCAGATTTATTTACTTGTACTTTTGCTTGAGGCCTCTTTTTCATTCCGAAGTTATGAGATGTAAATTTTGTGTGTTAATTTGCTTGAAAGTCACCAATTACTCTGAATGAATTGCCCCACTGGAGCTGAAGAGTATAAATATTGTATTTAGAAATTGCTTGCTTGATCTGCGATAATAAATATAGTCAAATCTATGATCTAGAAATGAGAGGAACTGCCTGGAGCGGCTTGCACAGCAGTGCTTGTGGTGGGGATCAGGCTGAGAGAAAGAGTGTCTTCTTTTTTGATGAAATACCTTGTTTTAAGCAGTTCCTTGGAGATATGAAAAGGAGATTTCTTTTTTTTTCCCATAGAAATTCTTGCTTATAGGCCTGCCTTCATACTAAATATTGACCTTGTTCTTTTCTTGGTGCTTAGTGGCAACCTTAAGTACGTTATTCATGTTCTGTAATGATTTCAAGCACAAACCTGCTGTCCTTTTGCAGACAGAGTCCCATGAAGAAGACATGACTGATACTACTTAAAAAAATCTTTATTATTGTAGTAATATTATAAGATCAAACAATTCTTTCAGAGGCAGTGCCACACAGAGAGGTTGCTGTGGTCAGTGTACAGAATATCTTGCAAAGCGATCTGTACTGTGTGTGGCCTGTACTTAACCTTCACCTGTAAGATCCCTTCAGTGCATGGAGCTGAAAAAAGATCATTTTTAACCTGTAATTATGTAACTAGTCATGTCTTTTTTCATGCTGAAGCTATGTCTGGCATTCATTAGCTAAATATTAGATAGGGAATAAAGGAAAATGATAACTACAAATAAATTCCTGGAGAACGCTGGTGTGTGTGGAACGCTTATTCCACTGAGGGTTCTTCTCTGATACATTTCGCGTCCTCAATAATTTATAACAGGATTAGTGCATGATGAGAGAAACTGTTGGCTGGTCACAAGAAGAATTCATCAATGGTGCAGCTTTTTTTGAGGATAATCTGGTTAATAGAGCACCTTGTTGATGAATATCTATATGTCTTCACCGTAAGTCCTGTTTCTTGCTGTGAAGGGCAATCTTCTGATAATGTTTTGTGTGGATATACAGGAACTCATGGGTGACAACTGCCCCCCCTTCAGGTGAGAGTTACCCCTTCTACTCCCAAGTAACTATTCATTGAACTATTCATGATGGTGCCTGCAACTTTGGGAGAGACATGATCTTACTGTGAGCTTCATGTAAAGGACCTCCTGATCACCTATGGTGATTTGCATCAAAGACAGGAACTGAGCACCGGTTGCTTTTGCCTTGCCTTCAGCAAAGGTTTTGCAGTGCTTTTGCTTTGTGTCCCACCTCTTGCTTGTTTTGGTGCATTTCAGCCAGTTCTGATGTGTGCTCCCACATTCCGTCTCCAAACACTCCTACAGGTAACTGCAGATAAATGGCATCATTTCTCTGTCTGCAGGCCAAAGATAATAACTAAATAATTGGCTAGAGATTGAATGCTGGACACTAGTTCACCTACCCATTGTAATCTTTCTGCTGATCTAATTGTGCCTGCCAGCAGGGAAAGCAAAATTTGGCCTATTAATAGCAAAGAAATCAGAAAGAATTCCTGTTTTGACAGCTGACCAGCAGCAAACATTGCAGACTCCAGTTTTGATGCTCATTAAGTAATGGACATTAATCTAAGTAAAGTTTTAATGATATCTATAGCACTGGGTTTGAACACACAGGGGAAATACTGTGAAGTCTGAGCTGCATCTCAGGTAAACATTCTGCTGTGGAGATGGATTTGATTTCCCTCTAATTATCTCCCAGATTAAAATAAATGAAGCATCTAAATGAAAGCGAGTTTCAGGAGTCATCCTCAAGTACTTCATTATCAGGAAAGATTAATAGCTCAGAAATATTCTTAGTTTCATTTTTCCTCATCTTTATGCAGTTTTGATTGTTTTTTCTTCCTTCCTTTCATGCGATGTGTAATTGTGAAAGAAAGTTAAGTTGAATAAGACCAGTTTATTGTGCCATACATAACTCTCGGTTTTTAGAACACAATTCCAGTCTCTACATGCCCCAACCACTAGTAATTTCCTTTAGTCACTGAAAATCTCCAGTGATACATGTTCAACTGAAGATACTTGAATATACTTAGCGGCTGTTGTTCCACATATGAATGATCTTTTCTTAGTTGTAAGTATTTGCCCAGGCCATTTAAGTACTGAGGTGTATGTGGCTAGTATTGTGTGCATGTAACATGGTTAAACAGAAACTTTAAATTCATGCAAAGATTTTGATTTTATTTTTAAATGGAGGAAGTATTTTCTATTGTAGAGATGAGGGAAGCTTTTGTGGTTTTCCATGATGCAAAGAAGATAAGGAGTTAAGGTAGGATAAAAAGTGACCTAGGCACGTGTGACGCTTTTGGGAGGGATCCTGAAGGCAGCAGTTATCCTGATGAGCATTGATGTCCTGCTTTGCTGCATTAATTTCCTTGTTGCTTCCAAAGCCTTTACGTTGGCCTGATTTTAGCCAAAGTCTGATGACAGCAGAGTTCCAAGCAGCTATTAATAGGGAGCTCTGGAGCCAGGCACTGCTCTGCAGGGTGAAGATGTACGTCAACAGCTTGGAGCCCGCAAGAGGAATCTGAAAGCGGCCCTGCGGGTTACTTTGTTAGCCTGTTTTCAAGCCATTCTGTTACCCAGAGGGTGAGTGGTGCCTGGCTCTGCCTGCCCAAGCAGAGCCTGGGTAACCCTTTGGAATGAAAAGAGGCAGCTCATCAACTACATGGTGGGTGTTTTGTTTGGTTGTTTTGCTCTTTATAAAAGAAACAAGAAATCAGCTGAAGATGGATGGTTATAAAAAGAAATGTAGAGCCCTCTTTGCCCTAGCTTTGGTTTCTAGACTTGTCCTATTATCCTTAGGCATCCTGAATTTGGAACTCCAATTTCACTCATAATTAAGCAATTAAAGCAATAACTAATTTGGAAGATACCTACTCTTTGCTTTTGTTTGTTTGGCAGTGCTGTTGTCATGGATTGTAAGCCTTGAGCAGATCATTGCAATCATCCATGCTGATGACACGCTGGAACAAGCACAGTCATTTGTGGCCGAGCTGTTTTCTTGGAAGGATGGAATTTTAAGCTCTGTAATTCTGTAAATATTGCCAAACAAACCTTACTTTATTCTAGCATCACTACAGAGTGAATTCAGGGGGTAGTGATGGTCACTGGTCTTGATTTCTGTTGTGAACATCTGCCACTGCTCATTTCAGAGTTATCCTGGTGGTTTTTCCATCTTAGATTGGGATTTTTTCAATCTTTTGGTTCAAATTTATGATCTAGTGGAGACTTTCAGCACTGCATTTGCCAGCTGGTCACTGCAGCATCAGGAGGGAGCTTTCCTCCTTGAATGAGAAATGTAATGTAGAAAAAGGAAGGCAGGGAATGTAGTTTCTTTTTACTTAACACATTCAAAGCATCATTTATAGCAGGGGTGGCACATGTTCCTTCACAGGATCACGGTATGCATTCAGCGTCCTCAGAAATCTTGGCTACACCCAGCTTGAAGAGTGAAATCCCTGTCACAACTAGTATAGTGTAAGGGTCTGAAATGTGTTTCTTAACGTTCGTACAGAGGGACTGGTATGAGACTTCCAAGTAACTATTTTCCTCAAATTTAACATGTTAAAGTAGCAGCTTCTTTAGATGTCTCCTGCTGTGCTTCTGACCAGTGGGTCTAACCTTGCCTGTTAAACTGCAAGAGGAATGTGGGTCTTAAGCTTGTATAGGATTAAATTTGCTCTGGCTTTACTTCTTGTAGCGGAGTGCTGTTCACAGCCTGCTGAAGGTGGGAGGAGGCTTCAGCTAAAGGAAATGTGCACGATTAAATGAGTGGTCTAATGACACCGAACAACATTTAAAGTAAATCAAGGTTACTTATGTAAACAGCAGTTTAATTAAGATAATCAGTGATGCAAATCATTGTTGATGTTGCACCTCCAGCAGAAAATCCATTTTGAAAGGCTTCACAAACTTTTGGGTTTCTGTGCCTGATTTTTGACTCGTTATAGCAGTAAAAGGTTTTAGTTTTGGTATTTAATTATTAGAAATTAATTCCTTTAAAAATTCCATTAGATTTGAGGAGCAAAAAGGAATCTCAGTCTTGTATGCAAATACTGTATGTTCTCCACTGGATGGTAGATGTAAAGTGTTTGACTGGTGGTATAATTGCAAGGCGTGAGTATCATTTGGAGCGGGTCTGCTCTAAATGTCTTAGGAAGATCATTTATATCATCTCATCAATGCTAATGACCTGCTTTCCTGTGAGGAATGTTTGCACCCGAGTTTATTTATCGCTGGATTAATTAGCATTGTAAGAGACTTCTTTGTATTTGTGCTGCTGTTGTTTATTCTGTGCCCCAGTGTGATCTCTTGCATTCACATGCCTAATTTCTTACGTATTTCAAGACAGAAAGTAAGCATTTCTTTCTTTTGACAAAGAAAGCATAGTATTGTGACATGCTTGTCATTAGAAATACGAGT